TTGAAATCAAAGGCTAAAGCTAAAGAGGAGGCCACACCCATGGATATGTAAAGTGTGACCCTGGTTCGCTGGCTGCCAACAAGTATTTTGCATGTTATCATTATTTTTACATTAATCACAAGATGGTTATTTATGATTAGCTTTATAAGTTGGTATTTTCTTTTTAGATGTTTCTTTGTTCAAAGTGAAGAAATCACTTTTGAATAACCAAGAAGAGTTTTAAGTTTCTTGGCGAAAAGAGAGTTATCGAGCACCGCCTTTCGATCTGTTTGTACACGTCCGTACGAATATTAAAGGTAATGAAGGTATGATACGGTTATGATCTGCTCCAACGATGACATGGGGTACCAGAAGCGTGGTCGAACGAGATCCCACGTGCTGAACATGACTGATAGTGAGTTAATTTAAAGTCTCCTTTTGTTGATGTGTGTAATAGCTGGTAAATTTGAATTTGAGGACGTCATGATGTTTTTCGTTTGAACATCTTCCCCATAGATATAATGCTGAGCTTCTCGAATGTGCGCTACGTACAGCGAAATGTATGTCGTGTCTCAGCAACAACCAACTCAAATCTTTTTTTAAAATGATTGCATGATCGGGAATTTTCTGTTTCATTTCTCACAAACAAAATTAGCACTGACTAAAGAGTTTCTCGAATTTGTATAAATTGCGTTGACTTTTATGGTACATAGCAAATAACGGACATTCTCCGCCAGGAACGCTTCTGAGCTATTTTTCCGTATGTCACACAGAATGTAATTCTACTGTATAAAAGCTTCTCAACTTGCAGCCCAGAGCGTACATCAAATTGTACTACCAGTTTATCCTGCCTCTAATGTCATCTCTGCTACCGCTACGGTGCTACCCCCTCCCATATCTGCTGTCCAAGACGAAGACATGCTGACGTAGCAGCGCCCACACTCTGAAGTTGAGATAAGGTCGCTAACCAGCCGTCTGTTCATGTGCTATCTTATTTTAAACAATCAGATTGGAGAAAATCTATGCCTGACTCACCAGTTCAGCCTCAAAGGGCGGCGGGAACGACGCCTCCACATCAGCAATCGTATGCAGCTGCGGCGTTTCGCCTGCAGCCCCTGGTATATCTCTACGGACATCGCAAGAGTGGAAACGTGACCTTCTTCACAGCCCTGTAGCCTTGACAGCGATACGGTGTCTGAGTGATGACGGGTAGCGATCCTTGCTGTGACAAAGGCTGCTTAACCTGAAGTCATTCCTGACGCTATGTACAGCATCAAGACCCGTGTATCCTCCTCGCTATTTAATGTGTCGCGCCCTGCAATGGTGCACGAACTATCAGCAATGACACGGTCAGGTTGGTCATTAAAGATGGAGAGGTTCTACACGTCTACCGCCAACCACATAACATGGTGATGCTTTACCGCAAGTCTGATATTGCCAAACAACGCTTAACGGTCAGCGATGCCAGTATTTAGACCGGACAGTTACGTTCAATTTGCTCAACCCCTTTTGGAAGCTTTCAACGTTGATGCACTTGGCATCCGTAGTGAACAAGTCGCCAGAAATCTATATTTTCAATATTCTAGCCAGCCGGTCTATTTCAACTTGACGTATCGCGCTCCTACAGGCTTCATTATATCTGGAATAGTTCGCTATCATTCCAGCTCTTCAAAGTGCCCAGAAGCTTTAATAGTGAACGGTCAGATGTGTGACCAAATTGTGATCGGTGTGTTACTTCACTCGGCGCGGGCAAAGGGTACTCAGACGACTACCTGAACTCTTCGAAGCCGTCCCCTCATGCTTTGAAGTTTGGACACGACGGCGACGTCCCTTCCCGGCCAAGCGTGAATATTTTCAATAAGAAGAATAACATCTGTATTTGAGTTGTGTAAATTTTCAAAGCGAGCTTTGTGAGCTATTTGTATTTATTCGGAATAGTCAATACACAGAATATATTTCTGCTATAGAATGATGTCTAGCTGATCCGCAAATGATCCTTTCAGCTTCCTCATCCGAAAGCAATCATTTACTAAAAATTAATATGCTGGATACTATGAAAGATTCATGTCAAGCAAGGTTC